CAATGAAATATGTTCTTTTCTAAACACTTTAGGTGTCAAACTGTGACTATAGAATTTTAAGAGAACAAAAATTTTTGTTCTAGTTCAAACTTCAACATTGGATGCTTTTTAATTTTTTTATTTGTTCTTTTTAGATATACATGAAGGTAGAGTGTATTTTGACATATTCTACATACGTGAAATATAATTTAGGATCCCATTCTTGTGGTTGTACATGATGTGGAGTTACACTGGTCGTGTATTCATATATGAACAGAGGAAAGTTACGTCTGATTCATTCTACTGTCTTTCCTATTTCCATTCCCTCTCCCTTTCCTTCATTCCCCTTTGTCCCTGAGAAATACTAAAGTTAGCTGGGCATGGTGGTCCACGCTTATAATCCCAGCTATAATCCCAGATATTCTGGAGGCTGAGGAAGGAGGATCATCACAAGTTCAAAGCCAACCTCAGCAACTTAGGCCCTAAGCAACATAGCAAGGCCCTGTCTCTAAATAAAATATAAAAAGGGATTGGGATGTGGCTCAGTGGTTAAATGCTCCTGGGTTCAATCCCAATACCAATAAATAAATAAATATTGAAGTGACCCATTTTTATAATGCCATTGAATTTAGAAACATGAATAACAGAATAAACAGAATTTTTATTATATAAGAACAGGAATACTGTTAGGTCCTTTCTCTGACTCAGTTCATTTCTTAGGTAACAAGATGTAGGCCTGGGTTATAGAAAACGCTATATAAGGGGCTGGGGTTGTGGCTCAGTGGTAGAGTGCTTGCCTAGCATGTGGTTCCATCCTGGGTTTGATCCTCAGCACCACATTAAAAAATATAAATAAACAAAATAAAGGTATGTGTCCACCTACAACTAAAAAAATTTTTAAATGCTATGTAAATGTCTTACTGTTTTTTGTTATTACTGTGCTTTCAAAATTATAAACCCACTTTAATGCACCCAAATCTAATTCTTTCCCTAATCTTCATCAACATTGTTGCTCAAGTAAAAACCATCACTATGGTCAAGAGATAGGCAAGGAAAGAAAATGGGCTCTTGGATAATATTTGTGATTTTTTTTTTTTTTTTTTTGTCTGTGGTTTTTCATCTAAAGGTGCAGTGACAGAAAAAAACGAAACTTTCAGAAAACTAACTAGAAATACCTCAGAGGAAAAAAAGAGGCTGGCTAGGCCATAAGATCATGATAAAAGGTACTCTACCTTTCCTGTTTGTACCACCATTTGGAAGCATTTGGGAAGGTGTTGTGAGGGTGGGGTAAGCCAATGAGGGAGTGTGTTTTCTATAACGAATTCTAGCAAGCAATCATAATATCAGTGGAATAGTTCTGGTTTTTGTTATTGTCAGCAGTGCTTTAAAAAGTCAGCAATGAAATTCTCTTCAATTGTAGGGCTGACCTCTGCCATTGACCTCCTCTGACCTCTATGAACACCACTGACACTAGTCCTTTGTACAATGTAAGGTACAGACCAGGGGAAAATGCTAAGGTGGTAAATGAGAATACAGAATTTCCTCCCTACCCTACAACTCCTTTATTGTGTTTTTCTTAAAAAAAAAAAACAAACATGAAAACCTTAGTATAAATTTCCCATAGTATTGTGTACATATCTGGTCCTTATTAAAACTCCTGTGTTAGGGCTGGGGGTGTAGCTGAGTGACAGAGCTCTTGCCTGGTGTGCATCAGGCCTTGGGTTCCATCCCTAGGACTGGAAGAAAAAAATCCTATGTTAATTTGGGATTCCATAGCTTAATAAAAAGTTCATCCAATGACAACAAGGGCTGGCCAATGGATAATGGGGAAAGTTCTGAAAGATCTGAGATTATGAGTCCTAACAAAAAAGAAGGGTTAAAGTCTGTATGCAGTGTGGCATAGTAGGTATTGGATGCCCATCAGAGCCATTCCTTTTCCCAGAAGCAAAGGGGAGTGCAAGTGTAACAGAGGTCCTAGGTCAGGGGGGTCTTTGGAGCATCATGGAAGGCTGAACCCTGTAAATGGATTCCAGAGGTCTTCATTTGTCAGGTAAATTTCCACTAAATACAATCTTTATTGACTGTTACCCACTTTCTGAAGCATTAAATTCACCTGTACACTGCTTAATGAAGAGGCAGGATGATTCAGAGAGGTAAATGCCAGCAGGGGACTTTGGGTGACGATGATGTGTCAGCGTAGGCTTATTGATTATAACAAATGCATCACGCACCACGTTGGTGGGGGAATGTTGCTAACAGGGCGTTTGCATGTGGGAGGGCAAAGGATGGATGGGAATTCTCTGTACTTTCTGCTCCATTTTGCTATGAACCTAAAACAGCTCTAAAAATATTTAAATAAAAACAGCCAACAGGGGAGGAGAACTACTGCTATGGCATAAAAAGAATTTGTTTCATTTGCATGGTTCTTTAAAACTTACATAGTTGGCCAAGTATGGTGGCACATATCTGTAATCTCAGCGGCTGCAGAGGCAGAGGCAGGAGGATTGTGAGTTCAAAGCCAGCTTCAGCAATTTAGTGAGGCCCTAAGCAACTCAGTGAGACCCTGTCTCTAAACAAGATGTTAAAAAGGGCTGGGGATGTTGCTCAGTAGTTAAGGCCCCTGAGTTCAATCCCCGGTACCAAAACCAAAAACAAACCACCTTACATAATTGTTTCAGTCTCTCACATGATGCTATGAAACTAGAAGAACAGGTGTCTATATTTCCATTTTTCAAGATGAGGAGATGGACGCTCAAGAGCTAATGAAACTTGACTTGGTGTAAAGAACAAATGAACATAAAAGTCAGGTCTTAAAAACCAGGCCTCTCATTCAAAGTCCAGTGACCACCGTGCTTTTCACCCAGATCTCTGATGATCCACAAGCTTTAGAGGAAAAACTCAAATCTTATTCCTGTTTCATATTGGATAGTCAAAGTAAAGGTTTTATTGATTATCAATGTAAGCAAGACATTGGAAGAAAGAAATGTAAGTAAAATTATGACAGAAAAGAAAGATTATCCAAACTATATGGCACTAATACCTTTCCAGAGCTCTAGACATGGATAGACTTTGCTTTACGATATCATAGACCCCTTTCAGTAATCAGAAAGTGACTGCAGCCCAGAGCCCTGGGACTTGGCTGCTCCTCGTTCTAGAAATGCTGGTACTGGTTTCACAGACAGGGAAAGAGGGGAAGGCCTCACAGCTGTCCTGTGTAGTCCATCCCATGAAAAATAATAATTTCACATAAAGCAGTTCTCCAAACAAGTTAAGGCTTTTTGCCTTACAGGCAGAAATGAACAACCGTTCATTTCAGAGAACAAAATTCTCAGTATTCCAAAGAGCTGATTTTTAAGAAGCTTTCACCACCACAGAATTCGGTAAGGCTAAGCTGCTTCCATGTTGCCAATAATGTGAAAGAACAAGAGGCAGGTATGTAAAAACCACTGACATTTCACATCATTAGAGAGTACACATCAGTGATGCTATATATAATAAGATATTTACGGAGTTTGGGTGTTGATCTGAGCCCTATACCAGGCATGTGTAGTGGCTCGTTTTTTTAGATAAGCTAAAAATATCCCTTTGTAATGTCCTTTGTCATACTCCCTGTGGCGTTATTTTTTTCCCCTTTCTTTCATCTGTTAGTCCCTAGCCTGGAATTTCATTTAAATGAGATAGAATCTTTTTTTGAACCAGCAATGAATCTTAACACAGAAACACCCAGAGAGCTAACCCTGACTTAAATCTACAATAAGAGGTAGACTTTAGTATCAAAGCTGAGGTTTACCAGAATAAGATTATGTTGGTGTGATGTGGAGAGAGAGAGGTGGGATAGTGAATTTTAGGCAACGTTCAGAGAAAAGATCCCAAGGACAAACATCGGACTGCCCCATTAGACTGTCTAGTAAACAGCCTTTGTTCGCAATGCTCTGCCTTCCAGGATGGCCCAGGGACCTGTGACTGTGCTCTGGAAGCATTTACCACGACCTGCACAAGACCGCTTATGATGATGGATGGCAAGGAGGAGGGTGGTATTTATCCAGCATGAAAGCTTTACTCTGTTTCTTCCAACAGAAATGTACCTTTCCCACTGCAGGCTCAAGTTCTCTGCCTTCTGATCATCCACAGATCATCCCTGCCAACAACCTGGTGCCCCTGGAGAGCTCAGCAAAGCTCGCTCACCAAGCCCCCAACTTGCTAAATAATGAATCCTATTTCCTTTTGAGTCCTCCCCACTTCCTGACCAGACAATCCTCTAATCAAAAACACCCAAACAGGGTCATTTCTGTCCTCATAGAGGATAATATAATTTCAACAAGATCATAAAGTGCTAATAAATTACACCCAAACCCCAATGCACTAAAATTTTCTATCAAGCAGAGCCACCTAGTGGTAGAACGGAATGTATATTTAAAATTTTCCATTTAATTTCTCTCCTGTAATAAGCCAGTCCAGGTGGATTGGATTTTTTTAATTTTTTTTAAGTGCTCCTTTTATTCATTCTTATTTACAGTTACCTGCTTTGAGAATGCCATCTCCATCTGTTGTCCTTACCAAACAGCTATCTATGCAAGGTAAACAACCCTAGAGTTATAATCAGAAATTTTTATGACTAAAACAGAAGCCTCTCTGGAAGAAAATATCAATATTAATTTATTTCTAAAGGTAAAGAGTCATTAGGATGTTTATTTTGTATTTTTCCAAAACAAAATCCACTTCTTTTCTCCATATACATATGACTCCATGTAAATTGCCATAATAAAATTGAGAAGTGCTGCTGGGGTTGTGGCTCAGCGGTAGAGTGCTTGCCTAGCATGTGCGAGGCCCTGGGTTCGATCCTCAGCACCACATAAAAATAAATAAATGAAATAAAGGTGTTGTGTCCCACTACAACTAAAAAGCAAATATTTTTTAAAAAAATTGATAAGTGCAGCCAAGGTGAAGAAAAAGTGCTCCTCTGTGGTTTCTAGTCCCCTTCCTGCCATAAGCATATGACCTGTGGTAGAAATTAGAAGTACCTTGGGTTGTGGTTTGATTCCTTTTCTTCTTTTAAAGTAGGTAAACATTCATAGTCGGCTAGAACAGAACAAAAGCAAACTCATTGTTAGTCATCGAAATTCTATTTTCTATCCCCAAAACTGACACACTTGAGCATCGAAATTGCCTTGATCTGTGTGGTTACCTGTGCAAAAATGATCTCACTCTAGGGAGTTTAGAGGTTAAAAGATTAATAGTGACAAGGCTCCTGAAATGAAAAAAGCACTAATAACGCAGATTCGAGACTTGAGCTTGCCTCTGCCCCTCTTGGAAAGGGCGTAATTCATCACTGCTTGGTTTTCATTCCCCGTGGAACCTCTGTGTTGTTCTAAAAGCCAGAATCTGCATCCTTCAGGCTAGACACTGGGATAAAATGGCTGCACCCAGGTCCTGATGAGCATGCAGAATGATTTCAGTCAGACCTCACAGCGAGAAGAGCAGGTGAGGTGAGGAATGGCCACCTTCTTAGAATCAGCCAAATCCTCTTCTATTACACCACCCTTGTTTTTAAGAGAAAAAAAAAAAAAGAATTCCCCTGGATATACCCCCTTATGTCTCAAAATAACTCTCCACTTTCATTGGCAAATTGATGTCTTTTGGCAGTTTTCTGGTTTTAATGAATGTGAAAGAATTATTATTTGTATTTCACAAAGTCTCAGGTGCGAAAGGAAATAGAACAAAATATTGACAGAGATTGTCATTGGTACTGGAATCCTCCTTTCCACTTTGTTTTTTTTTTTTTTTTTTTTTGCATTTTCCAAATTCTACTATGTGTGCATACTATAAACAGGAACAATAATATGTAACCACTTTAAGGACAAGGTCAGTGACCTACATCCATCTTCAAATGCTTTATGGGGCCCTTTGTCCCTCAGTATGAAAAATTGTTGGAAATTATACAAGTTATCGAGTGCTTCTAATCTTTTGGAAAGCTCATCTAATTTTAATAACAAATTTCTGGATTTGAGAAAATTCCATTGTAGGGTATTAAATCTGACAGACCCAGGGCGTTTTTCTTAAAGATAAGTTAAAAATACAAATTATATGATATCATAAATAGTGAATTTCATCTGAGCAATTACATCTGAGCATTAAAATAATTTATTGATTTTTAGAGAAAAAATATTGATCATCATTTTAAGACCAATTATTGACTTAATGGGAAGTAAGGAACATATAGTACTCTTACTGCCAGATATCAATTGGAAGTTGTTATATTTTATATTACTATCTATGTAAAAAAAATTAATATTTTTTAGTTATAGTTGGGCACAATACCTTTATTTTTATTTGTTTATTTTTATGTGGTGCTGAGGGTCAAACCCAGCACCTCGCAAGTGCTAGGCGAGCGCTCTACGGCTAAGCCACAACCCCAGCCCCTCTATGTAGAAATTTTTGCAGTGATGGAAGTATTCTAGATTCAGCCTAATACGTAGCCCCCTGGTTACTGATCACTCAAAATGTGATTACTATAACTAATTTTATTTGATCAATTTGAATAGTCATACATGGCTACCATTTATTGTATTGGACAGCATAGATCTCTGTAAAGTACATTTGATAGAGTTACTCTCATATACAAATCAAAATTATAGATTTCTAAATTCTATTATCCATAAGAAAATGCCAGATGCTTTTCCAGGATAATTTGGTCTCAGATTTCCTTGCTTGGAAAAAAAGACATGGAGCCTGGGGGTGTATCTCAGTGGTAGAGAAGTTGTGTAGCATGTGCAAGGCCCTGGTTCCATTCTCAGCACCCCAAAACAGAAAAGAAAAAAAAAGAGATGGTTTTCTGCTTGAAAGAGGTCATTTCAACAACTTGTATGCAAATAAAAACAAGTTGCAATAATCCATGTCATAATTATACTGGATATTTAAGGATCTATCAGACCTAAGTTATTATCTACATGCATTAGATAGATAGTAGTATTTGGGCTCTGTCACACTCCAGAATTGATTCAAGCATTTATTTAAAGTTATTGCATCCTTCTATTACTAGAAAAGAAAGCAAAGCTTTTGGTTTCCACCTACCATTTCTATTCATGTTGTTCATCCATTTATCCAGTTCTTCCATCTCTATTTCCATGACAGATGGTGTGTCTTCCTCGAAAATAGGACTAGAGAGAGAGACAGCAAAAGGATTGTTGTGGGGTGGCGGGGAGGGTCGTCTGTTGCATTTCATTCTGAGAGTCTAGAACGACAATGCTGATGAAATTGGACTTGATTCAGTGTCTGCCACTCCAGGTTAGCCTGGGGTGACCCTGCTCAAGAGTATTGAGCTCTAACCGGAAGAAATGCGAAACAAACTCACTTCTATCCCTGATCCCAAACGGGAAGGCCCACAGGCCCAGGGAGTGAGCTAGAAAGGGAACCCGGGGGTCTGAAGGTCTGCAGGCCTCCTCAGACCGCGTTTAGTATTTCAACTTTGCTTCATTTCACTTCTCCTTCCTTGGGGTCTTGGATCAGTGCCCCAGATCAAGAGACCACGGTCAAGGGGCAACTTTTATCACCTCTTCCTTCAATTCCCAGGCTTTCCTAACTAGGAGAAATGGAGCTGTTACTTTCAGAAATCCAACTGTCCAGGCTCCCCGGGGCCAGAGGGCATGGCTAAGGTGCAGAAACCCCAAGTGGGTGCAGACGGAGTAGCGGAAGGAAGGACTACCGCCCCAACCACCGCGGAGGCGTGGAACTGGGGAGAGGAAGTGAAGCTACTGGAGGGGTGGGGGAGTCGCCCTAGAATTCGGGTCAGAGTGTCACCTCTGCCTCCCTCCCTCCCTCCCCTCCCCCTCCCCCTCCTCCCCCTCCTCTTCCCCTCCCCCTCCTCCCCCTCCTCTTCCCCTCCCCCTCCTCCCCCTCCTCTTCCCCTCCTCCTCCTCTTCCCCTCCCCCCTCCTTCTCCCCTCCTCTCCCGCCCTGTCCTTGCTGGTCCCTGCGCAGCGCCAACTTTCTGCTTCTAAGGGCCTCCTTCCGCAACACCAGCTCTAGTATCTTTCCGGGTGATAAATTTGTTAATCAGAATCGATTAACCGACGTCCTTGACATACATCCAGGGTCAGAATATTGAACCACTATGCATTCGACATTGGTAGCAGTCAGAAAAAGAGTCTTTTTCTGAGCAGATGACAATGAAATACAGCAGCTCCCACCCGGTCTTCCGCAGAGACTGCTCAGGGTAAGATCTGGGGACGCGGGCGCACCCCGCCTTGCGCCGCTAGGGGCCGTCCCGGTCCCCGGGGGCCCGGGAAGTAGGAGAACCCTGCAAGGGCATCGGAGCCCAGGAAAAGGCCGAGGGCTCTCATGTCCCCTCCCTAGCTGTTCTCATCCAGGAGCGAGTTGGTTGGAGGAGGTGGGGAGGACTTACACTTTCAGGTTTTCACTTCCCAGTTCATCTAAAAGGGAATAAATATAAAGGTCAAGTTAGTTTTGTCCACCAGCATCAACAGCTGAAGTCTCCTTTACAAAGCAATCCAAAAAAATTTTTAAGTAAATTACGTTTTTAAAAAAATATTTCTTCGATGTTGTGGACCCTTATTTTATTCATATATAAATGCGGTGCTGAGAATCGAACCCAGTGCCTGACACATGCTAGGCAAGCGCTCTACCACTGAACCCAAACCTAACTCCAGTAAATTCCATTTTTAAAGGAGCAATAATTAACTTCCAGGTTGAACAAGTGCAGATTGCCATATTGACATGAAGCCTAATGGGTGTGAAATCTGTTTTCTTTTGGGTAAGTATGCTCCCCTTGCTCACTTCAGATCAGAGGTATCTTGTATCTTTTTTATATCCACATGAAGAGGAAAACAGTGGTAAAGGAAAGAAAGATAGGGTTCAGCTCCAGAGCTTGCTCCTTGACCACCCTCAATAAAATGTCCCAGTTCAAAACTCCAGGGCTTTATCTCCCATGGCACACATGCTGAACACTGTGCCACTGTCCTCTGTCCTGAAGCAGGATGTGGGTCACTCCATCAAAGGCTCCTCCTGAAACTGCGCTTTTACCCCAGCTCTTTCAATGACTGGATCTAAGTTCTGAGCTTCAGTAACCTGCCCTCAGGGAGGCTGCTCCACCTCTATTTGAGAAGGACACATCTTCCTGAGGCTCAGCACCCTGCTTGCTTCCTCCATCGAGTTGGTCACAATTTCTCATCCACCCATCGGCTTGGCTCTGTTTTGCCTGTCTCTCTCACTAGTCCACAGCTCCCCCAGGACAGAGATCATGTCTGTCCTGTTCACATCATCCCCAGCTCCTGTCCTGCTAACACAGTACCTGACAAATGCCTAGTAAATATTTATTGAATCAATGAATAGTCTTAATCTTGATTGTTCATCCCTGGGGTTAAATTCACATCCAATCTGTTGGATGGTATTATCATGATAGACATCCAGCCCACCTGCTTTTGCTGCTGCTGATTGGGATAAAAGTCAGGGAAACAGTTTACAAAACGTCTATAATGAACATCAGATTCCAGATGAACATGTGGCAAGAACCACAGCCTGATGTCTGGGCCCAGGCTCTGTTTTGTTTGGCAGGGAGACCAGAGAAATGAAGCAACAATGTCAAATGAATGGATAGTGGATAGCGCCACCGTGTTTTTATGAAGTGAGAACGATCAGAAAGAAAGCCACTCTGTAGAGGTCCACCCAATAGTCAGATGTTCCTGATCTTGGCAGTCAGAGGCCTGCTTTCATCTGGCCTACAGAAGTGCAGGTCCCAGCGAGGCAACACAACCAGCAGGCACCTGGAACAGACCTCCTGGCAGCCGTGCACTGGGGTGGTTTCCTGCAGTTGGTAAGCATGAACGGCACTGCCAATCCAGGAAAGCCGGATGCACATTTAAGTTTCATGCCATGACTGCCTGCTTTGGAGGGGCTGTTATATCCTCCTGCTCCCCAGTAGGAATCTGAAGCTTCCTGCAGGTACCTGACTCCTCAAAAAATAACTTGAAACTGGGGAAAGGAAACTATCTGCATCTTACATGTTTTTATATATTCATCTCTATTCTAAAATTTACCGGCTTGTTCCTTAAGGGATTTTACTATAAATAAAGCCCCTAGGCGATTGATTCTCCTGATGGGGAACCCTTAAAAATCACCCTATTTTGTCCCTCCTTCTCTCCTCCTCTCCCTCTTTGCCTACCTGCTTAATAACTGCCCCCCCCCCCCACTAATTTCTCAGAGAGCATGTGTCTCTACAGCCCCACTGTTGTGGGCAATGGATTTATCTTTGTAATCCGGGTTCCCTGCAGGCTTGGAGGTGAGCAAAAGCTAGCTTGCATGCAGATGATGGAAAAGTTAAAAAACCCATTACCAAAGTGCTCCAGATGCACCAAATGCGAAGCTCCTATAATCAGTATTAAAAGAGAGCAAAAAGCCTTTTGTGGCCTCGTCTTCCCTGCTCCATGGCCATTACCCCTGCCCCAGCCGCCATGGCAACAGAAAAACATCTGGGAGAGTAAAACATTAAACCAGGAGGGAGACCAATTACTTGTCCTCAGCAATCAGGCCCTGCCCGCTCCACTCCACCTGGCCTACAGCTCTTTATTAATAGCCACCTATTCCCTTTGCAACCCAGAGGCAAATGCAGCTTTTAGCAGCCCCCCTTTCTCTCCCCCCTGGATTCCATTTTCCCCTTAGAGTCCTTCCATTTCATATCCTCCTCCCCACCTTGTCCTCCTCCCTCACTTCCTGCATCACAACCACTTGGCCTGACAATACCCCACTCCTAGCTCTTCTCCTCTGTGAATGGGATGGTGGGATAATTTGGGTGTGGGCTGGGGACACAGGAGCTGCAAGAGACTCTGGCTTCCTTGTCTTATTTCCAAGCTGAGCAGTAAGCAAGTCTCTTTCCTGAGAGATTTACTGAGCAGGGCAGAACATCATGTAGCCGCTGTGGGTTCAAAGTGACAGTTTCCTGCCAGCTGCATCTCTTTCAAGACATCTACCCCCTCCCCCTGCCCCAAACACACACTCACAGCAAGGTACTTAATAAATGTTAAGTGGTAACAACTGCAAATGTAATGCCTGGAAGCCTAGGAAGAGGGGTCGCCAAACACCAGGTTACTATGCAATATTTCCTTCCCCCCCCCCCCCCCGACATGAAAAGACAGGCTCAAAGGGAAAAAAAAGGTAATTTAGGGGGTTTAGCTCAGTGGTAAAGCATTTGCCGAGCATGCTGAGGCCCTGGGTTCAATCCCCAGCACCACATAAAAAATAAAGAACAGAGGAGGGTGTTGTGGCTCAGTGATAGAGCACTTGTCTAGCACGGGTGAGGCACTGGATTCCATCCTCAGCATCATGTAAAAATAAATAAATAAAATAAAGGTATTAAAAAAAAGGCCACAAGAAAATTTTAAACAGTAATCTTGGACTAGCTCAGTGACAGAGCGTGTGCTTAGCCTGCTCAAAGTCAGCACCGAAACAAAACCAAGGGTATTTCCAATCAGATGAAGTATCCATTCTGAAAGGGTTGGTCACGTCCTCCCCAGGTGTCACCAGACCAGGGTCTATCATGTGAGGAAAGAACCAGTGTGCCTCTGCCTACTTTCTGAAGGGTGTCCAGGTGCCCAGGCCTGCAACTGAGCACTCCTTTGGAACTAACCAAGCAAAATGCTGGTCTCTTTGATTGAGTTAGACAGTTTTGTTTTTCCTGAAAAAAAAAAATAGTTATTTAAATATTCTTTTGTCTTAGACTTGTATTATAATGTTAAATAGAAATGGGTGGAGGAAGTGGTTGCTAACCATTTATCATTCTGTTCAGAAGAGATATTTATGTTTATATTAAAGGTGTGGCTAGTGAGTGAAAGAAAAAAAATCAAAAAGTTACCTTTATCAAAAAATTTTATGAGAAGCAGTTGGTCTGAATTTCTAAGTTTTCTATATTGTGTTTTCCTACAGTGAGAATATTTCAACTAAAAATGTGGTGCTGATTTGTAGTAGGGATAATGTGCCAATTTGCTTTTGCCTCTGAGAGTAGGTATTTTTAAAAAAATATTCTGACATCCTGTCATCAACTCATTCATTCAACAAACATAGACTGAGCAGATAATATGTGTGGGTACCATATAATAAGTGATAATAATAACATGAGAACATTTACTTAGAACTTACGTCAGGCACTTTTTCCTAAGTACTACATAGATACGCAGATAGATAGATGATAGAGGGAAATAGTTGCATCCCTTCATTTAATTACAATTCTATGTGGTAAGTATTGAATTTGCCCATTTTATGGATGAGGACACTGAGAGAGATTACAGATCTGGTCTTGCAAAAGCCAACCAAGGAGTGTGGTTCTACAATCTGTGCTCTCAACCGCAGTGCCACACTGTCAAACAGGAATAAGACAACTTCTTGGCTCTTTTGGACTTTAAATAGAACACAATGTAGCAGGAAAGAAAGATAAAAACACACAAAAAAAGGTCACTTGCTTATGATGACAACATGAGTATTGTGGACAGTAAGTGTGAACAAAGTGCTATGACAACCCAGAAGTGGTGATGCATTTTGCCTGGGGAATGTCTCTGTAAGAGCTTTAGCCCTGGGTACTGCAGAATGCGGTGGCCGTTTGCCAAGCAGACAAGAAGGAAATTCCAGACAGAAGGCAGAGGGCCGTCTATCCGTGGTCCCCGGAAGTCAAGCTGTGATCTGGCAACAGCAAAAACTTCAAGTATGGCTACAGGGTGGGAGGCCTGGGCCCTGACGGAGGATGAGGCCAGTTCTTGTGTGTAAATAGCCCTTGAACGGACAGACTTGCACAGTGCAGTTCAGTGAAAATCACTTTCTGAATCTAAAGCCTACAAACGTGACCCTTTGACTAGACACCTACCCTGTGCCCCTCCTCGGAGTCCATTAATTTAGCGGGCTGTGGGGCTATGGTTTGGGGCAGGAAGTTCTTACTTTGCCTGAGGTTAAACAATGGGATCCAGGTCTGTGTCCACGTAGTCCCTGTTATTCTACTCCTGGAGGCTGAGAGGCAGGGGGATGGCTTAAGCCTGCAAGTTTGAGGCCAACCTGGATAACGGGAGGCCTATCTCAAAAAAAGAAGTGGGGTCCAGCCAGCTCTGCTGCCTCTTGCCTTATCTTTAGCTTCTGCAGAAATCCCACTTGACCACTGTTATTAGGCCACCCTGTAATTTCAAGGGGTGAAGAAACTTGTATTTCCTGCTTCTAGGGTGTCTATTTTATGAGCCATGAAGGGAAATGCACTTTGGGGCTTCTCCCCCAGCTCACATTGCCTCATCTGCTAGCTTTGGAAATAGCTGTTATAGTTTCTGCTGAGAGCTAAGAGCTGCCCCCGTGCAGGGACCATGGGGGAAGCATTCAGGCCAAGGTCATGACCTCAAAGCCCCAGGTGCCCTGTTACTGGGCCAGAGGGACACAGAACAAGTTTTGCATATGACTCTGTATGTTATCAGGAAACCTCTTATTCCTTGAGTAATTTCCAGAATGACTTTTAAAAGCTTAACTTAAGATCTGGGAAAGTAGCTCGTGGTAAAGCACTTGTAGATATGTTTCCCAGAATCAGAAAAAGAAAAAAGGAGAAGAAAAAAGCTTCAATTTAAAAAAATGAGTCAGCATCATTTTTACCAGCACAAGACAAAAGTACCCCAAGACTGCCTGGGACCTAAAACTACCCCCAAAGCTAGTATCTGATGATTCTATGCTAGACTTTCGGAACATGCTGCTGATCTTGGGAATTTTCTGTCTTGGTTTCCAGATTGATGTGAATAATCTTTAACCAGTCAGGAATCTCCTTGCAAAAGTTTCAGTGGGAACAAGAACACTGCTTCCCCGGTCCTTTTGTGGTAAAGACCCCAAGGTCTCCAGCCTCCATCCCTAGCCCTAAATTGACCCACTGCCTCACCTCCTGACCCTCTTCCCACCTGGTGGGAAACATCACACTGGCCTCTTGGCCAAGACTATACACCATCTGCACTGGATACCAAAATGGCAGTGCTATGTTTTAAATTTCAAGGTAGACTGAAAACATGTCCTTAAAAGAAAAACAAAAAGGACATGGCATTATTAACTGCTTAAAAATGCCATTGAAATGTATCACTTATCATCACATAGTGGTTTGTTCTTTTTTTGGTTGGGGGGTGGGTACCAGGGATTGAACTCAGGGGCACTCGACCACTGAGCCATATCCCCAGTCCTATTTTGTATTTTATTTAGGGTCTCACTGAGTTACTTAGTGCCTCACTGTTGTTGAAGCTGGCTTTGAACTCGCAACCCTCCTGCCTCAGCCTCCCCAGCCGCTGGGATTACAGGTGCTTTTGTTGCTTAATTTTGAAACATCTCACTTCCTTCTACCCCATCCCAAACCCTAAATGGATGTCAGGAGAATACTCACAAGTCTGTAAAGCACTTTGAGATCCTTGGCTAGAAGGCTCTGAGTAAAAGAAAAAATGATACTGTTTTATTGAGTCCTCATTAACCTGTAAAGCAATTTTCTGAAAATAAGGATACACCAAATATTTACCTTGTTTAGTTCTCTTTCTTCTACAGTACCTCACAAGGAGTGCCACTAATAAAAGTAGGAGGACCGAGGAAATCAATGGGATCAACACCATTAATATAAACTCTAACTGATCTGTGTCCTCAGCGATGTGGGTAGAATTCGTATTTTCAGATACTATTTCTGTGGCTGTTGTAATCAACACACTTGAGGTGGTCTCTTCAGCTGTGGCTTCGTTTTCTGGGAATGTAGATGTATCTTCTGATTCGTCACCATTACCTGTGGGGACATGCACAAAACTGAGATTGCCATGGAGACAAAGCTGGTATGTTATGGTTTCAATGATTTTTAAATTTATCCTAGATACATTTGGTGATAAACTTGATCCACTGCACTTGGCCTTCCAGTTCATGGTGATACCGTGTATTGATTTAACATAAATGGAGCTTGAGCTGTGAGTATATTGAACATGGAATCAGTGCCCAGAGATACACCTTCCATAAATGCAGGCAGTTTAGCTTTGACCAGACACTTTGGATACACTTCAGCCAAGGGTGTTGGAAGCTTTGTCCTGTCAAGGATAATTTCCCAAGCCAAGTGGTGTGACATTCCAGGTGATCGCCTATAGGGTATCATGATATTTTAATAAAATTTCTGAACAAATCTAAATGTATACATACCGAAAATTCAGTGCACGCCATCTAACCCATTTAGATGTCAAGAAATGGGGCTGGGGACACGGCTCAGCCATAAAGCACTTGCCTAGCAAACTCGAAGGCCCTGGGTTAGATCTCCAGTACCGCCAAAAATAATTAAATGTAAACAGGTGTAAAGGAATTCACTCTGTGTCCTAATTTTTAATAAAAGGTACTTATCAATAGGAAAGGATGTTGGTCTTTGGAGTGATGACTTAGGTTTCAACATTAGGCCTTCCATTCTGCAAAGTACCAAGTCTGCCCGTGACAAATCCTTCTGGACTCTAAATAAAAAATATGCTGCATATCTCATTTGTAAAGTAAGATTCTCCAGGGGAAGTTCCCTTGGAGAATAAGAAAACTTCACCAATACTTAAAGTTATTCAGTAAAGTGCATCTGTGTAGCTTTCCTTACTGACAAGGTACAAGCAAGTTTATTCTGTTTGAACCCTGGGTAGTACTGCTAGCCCAGCCTGTGGCAGGTCACAAAGATAGTGTACGTGGAATTTCTCTGCAAGGTGAAAGGTGAGATGCAAATGGAGAAGTTGGCTGCTTTAAGTCACACTCTACAGTACAAGTTAGACCATGACTCCACTGAATGACAGACCCAGACACAGCAGAGACAATTCAATATGTTAGCCTTGTGATTCAGGTTAAAACAATAACAATATTTGTTTGATAACTATTATGAAAGGAGTGTTTGTGTGCACCCCCACCCCATTCATATATTAGCCTTAAGGCTTAATCCCCAATATGATGATGTCCCCAATATGATGGTGTCAGGTGGGGGCATTTAGGAAGTAGTTAAGTTTAATGAGGTCATGAGGGTGAGGCTCCCCAAATGGGATTAGTGCCCTTATAGAAGAGGAAGAAGAGACCTGAGTCCTCATTCTGCCTGTTCTCCCTTTGCCCTATGAGGATTCAGCAACAGGGCAGGCAGGAAGAGGGTTCTCACCAGACCCTGAATCTGCCAGTACCTTGATTTTTAACTTCTCAGTTTCCAGAACTGTTTAAGCCACCCAAGCTGTGGTATTTTGTTATGGCAGGTGAACTAAGACAGTCACAGTTAATTATTTTGGTTTTATAGATAAACATTTCAGTCTCCCACTTTCATGTCCCAGTAGGAAGAACCAATCAAAAAACAAATAAACTGTTAGCTTTCCCTACTGTCAAGGTAATAAAACAAAGAAAAAGAAAAATAGAGTGTGAAGTTAAAAGCTTCAGTTCTGTTCTGGGTCCTCTGAGATCCAATCTTTACCCCTCCAAGTGTGATCTTGGGCAACTTTCGTAATCTTTTGGTCCCAGTATGTATCATTCAATGACAAACTGAAGAATATAACTTGATTCTGATTGAGAGTTTTGGGTGGCATTTACCAAAGTGATTATCAAATGGATTCCCTGATCCTGTGGGAAACGGAATTCCCTGTGGCATATTTATATATGCACATAGCATGATTTTTAAAGAATTCTTTCAGTGTTTCCTTCCCTTTCCCATGTCTCCACTCTGCCTCTCAATCTCCTCCTGCTTCTACTCTACTGGTGTCCCCTATATCTTTATGATATCCAATCTTCTCCTCCTTTCCTTCAGTTTGCTCTAGCTTCCACATATGAGAGAAAACATTCAACCCTTGATTTTCTGTGTCTGGCTTATTTCCCTTAGCATGATGTTCTCCATTTCTATCCATTTACCAGCAAATGCCATAATTTTATTCTTTTTGGGGGCTGAGTAAAACTCCATTTTGTACACACACACACACACACACACACACACACCATTTCTTAATGCTTTCATCTATTGACAGGCATCTGGTTGATTCCCTTCTCACTATATTTTTCCTTGAATCGGGGAGGAAAGGAATGCTTGCAAATCATGAAGTTTGGCAATAAGGTGGAGAGCGAGAGAGGGAGCCTAGGAGGTAGCTTTCTGGCACTAGGGCAACATGAGCACAAGATTTCCAGAAGCCTCAGCTTTGCCAGGGCTCTTGCTGAGGCTCTCACCCCAGATGCACTGCAAACAAAGCTTCCCAGAATGATAAGATCTTTTCTGTACCTCTCCAAGGGAGACACATGACGCTCCCAGTGGAACACTCAGCCCTCTTTGAGTCCCCACTTGACCTATAGCCACAGGAAAAGAGAAAATAGGGAAGAAAATAAGTTAGCAGGAATAATGAGGACATTTCAACAATTGGAAATGAAAGAGAAATGGAAAGAAGTGCCCCTGATGGTCCTGGGTTGGGTACATGTGTTTTCCAGCATGAGACCATGGTGGTCACAGGTGGCCCTTCATGGAATTGTGTAAGGGAGCCAGAGGTCCTCTCCATAATGCACATCCTCACATATGTTTTCTACATGAAGCACCCCTTGCGCTCTGAGATTATTTTCTAGTGAATTTTTCCTTTTCTTTTCTTTTTGAGATGGGGTCTCACTATGTTGCCCAGGCCATCAAACACCTCCTGAGCAGCTAGAGCTACGCGCCCCACTTCTAGTGTCTATTTAAATAAATAAGAATCAACGGTTCATACCAATCTCTCCCATACCCTCATTTTATTTTTATTTTTCTTACAAGTATTAATTTCCAGGAATTCCTATAACAACCTCCTTTACAGTTCTCCCTGCCCCATCAACCTGAACTCTGTGATAGTCTCAAAATAATGAATAACAGTACCTGGCATTGATTGATTGCTTACTTCGTGATAGGTACTAGGATAAAGGTGTGTTGGTTGATTTGATCTTCACAACTTTATTGTCCACCTCGAATGTGGTGCCAAGAGTCAAATGAGGGCTCTGGTCATAGCTCTGTCACTTAGTTGTAGGAATTTGGAAAAATTCTTTAATCCCTTAATGACTTAATGCTCTGTTCGGTACAACAACAACAACAAAAATATCACCTCTTGGGTCCCCAGTTTCCTTCTAGTCCTATATCTCTGTTGATTCCAAAACATTTATCTTGTTTTTTGTTGTGTTTTTTTTTAAAGTGAGAGAGAGAGAGAATTTTTTAATATTTATTTTTCAGTTTTCGGCAGACACAACATCTTTGTTTGTATGTGGTGCTGAGGATCGAACCCAGGCTGCGCACATGCCAGGCGAGCGCGCTACCACTTGAGCCACATCCCCAGCCCAACCTTGTTTTTAATCCAAAATTTTGGACATGTAATATACCCATGGTACTAAGCTCAAAAAGGAAGTTTCTCTATCATCCTTTTTCCCCAAGTCCCTTGGTTTCCTTCCCCAGAGATAATTGCTCTTTCTGCTGCCTTCCAGAGAAACCCTATCACACTAGTAAGTATGTATTTCCCGTTTTCTTTTTTTTTTTTTTTAACACAAATGGTAGCAAAATTTATATACTGTCCTGAATCTTACTTTTTTCTCTTCCAATTTCATCTTGAAATTACTTCATGAGTGTATACAGAGAGCTTTCTTTGCCCCCTCCCCACTGTTTGGAATTATTCTTTGATGGAAATCTAGATTGTTCTTTTTTGTATTTCCAAACCTGCTACAATATCACTGTGGTTCCTTCCGTTTGCCCAAGGGCAAGTACAGGGTACCTCAGAAGGGGGAGGCAGGCTGGGCACAGCATCACACTACCCTCTATAGTCTGACCTCAAGGCTTCTCCAGGACACTCTCACCCAGTGCTCACTCAGGGAACTGGCAGGATTCAGCCAGGGAAAGGCCAGATGTCCAAGGATCTATGAGGTCAGAGGAAAGTGGAAACCACCAGGGATCAGCCCTAAGAGTCATAGACAGGGGAGTCGGAAAAGGGTCAGGGGGAGTGTCACAGAATGAAATTAGTAACCAGGAGTGGGTGGGTCAGCAAAGCGCCAGAGGTGAGATTTAGGAAAGAAATCAGAAGTAGATGAAAGAGCCAGGGGTCACACCAGTGGACAGGAGTGGAACAAACAGACAGCAGCTCAGGAGACTTTCTCCTGAAGTACTGTAGCTGTTCTCCCGTGACCAGCAGGGTCACAGCAACTTTTAACCCTGAAACCACCATGCAGCCTCCCGTAGCCCTTGGGGCTCCAGCCTTTTCTAATAAACATTTGCCAAGGCCCATTTAGTCCATGGTGACTTCCTGTGGGAGGCTCCTTCTGCTTCCTGGGTACAAGGCTTCTTCCAGCCCTGTGGAGGAAAGCAGGATTCCTCTAGTGATGCGTCCTGTGGGAGTTGCAGGGACATTTCTTGTGTTGATCCAGGGCCCCTTGGACACAGCCATGTTATCACTGAAGGGAGATAAGATCTGAATTCAGAAGAGCTGGGCTTGAGACCTGCTGTCAATCTCTAGCTGGGAGACCAGGGAAGAATCCTTTCCCTTCTAGAACCTTCCATTCCTTAAAAGACCCAAAAGTAAGCCTTCGGATCTGCCTCTCCCACAATGCTAGCATAAAAGCAAAAGAAATAATAAATGTTAGGCAAGAATTCTGCGTTGAACTACATCTCAGACCATGTAATAATGAATGTGAAGATGCTTCCAAAGTCTTAAAGGGGCACGCACAGGCCAGGTGCTGGTCGATTTGTTATTTTTGTGTCTTACTCTTTTTCTTTCCCCATCTCTGTACGTGTCTATTTCAGTTGTTCCCCGGAAGGTTCATCTGCCTGGTACTACTTCCTTATTTTATGTTTGAATCTTCTTATCTAAATTTGGATGTATTTCAGGGCACAAGGGGTGGGGCCTGGGGTGAAACTGGTGACACTGCTAGAGAGAGAGAGAGAGAGATAGAGAGAGAGAGACTGAGGGTGAAGAGAGGGACTTTAGCAAACACAAGTGCAGGAGAGAAGAAGAAACCCAAACACAGCCCTTGAAAAGCAGAAAGACCTTGCAAAGCTTGGCATTCGTGCCCCTGAACCCTGCATGTGACCCACCTACCAAGTCAGGTGTGAGGGCTCAAGGCTGGTGGCCCTAAAGGTGCAAGTCCAACACATTGTCTCTCTTTTGGGTGGCCCACTCCTGGTTATCTCAAGTGACCTCAACACAAACTCTCCCAGGATTATTATTAGCATTACTAAGAGGTAATGGAAATGGTCATGTGACCTTGCATGCAACCTTCAATACCTCCCCAGACTGTAAATCCTAAAGTCCCCGGATAATAAAGACTGCATGGTGTACAAGGCATTTACAAATGCTTATTTACAATATTCATGCAAACACATCTGGGTCTCATACATCTGGTGAGGACCCCTGAGGCCCAGGGGCTCCAGCAGCCCAGCCACACAGAGCCCCCTTATCACTGATCTGAGCATCATCACTGCGTGGAAATGACTTTGCTTCTTTGTGACGCAAACAGGCTCACTTCTCTCTTTTTTTTTTTTTTAAGTGGAAATGTGTAACCAAGGTCGTTATTTTGTTTTGTTTTGTTTTTTGACATCTGGTTTTATGTTTCATTTTTGGGCTTGTACTTTTTGGTGCCGAAACCTAGAAATGAAAACTATTTGTTTGTTTGTTTTGGGGGGTGCTGGGGATGAAACCCAGGGCCTCACACATGCTACCACAGAGCTACACCCCCAGTTATTCTAATTTTTAAAATTAGACAGAGTGTTATATACTAATGGCCGGACTGTTAGGCTGCTAATGCAACATGAAAGTAAGCCAAGGTGAGAGAATATTACTAAACAGGATGTCAGGATGAATGCCGAACCTCAATCAGATACCCCATCTTTCATTTGTTAATTATATGAACTCTGTACACAAATCATGGAAACACGTATAATTTAGATGGTGAAATGAAACAGATCATGGCAGGTGTTAATTGTTCTCTCCTGCTCTGTGGAACAACGGACCATATATGTATTTCAGGAGGCTCAGGAACCAAATCCAAGAAGTCTGCCTACTCTTCCTTCTCCCCAGTAGCATTTTGGAAACTGGCTTTGATGTGGTCAGGACAAAACAGGAACAAATGGCCTTACCAGACTCACCAGGCACCCGCCTGTCGAGGGAGCATTGTTTGACAGACAAGGTAGAAGGGTGACACCTCTGGGACACCGTTGCTCATGGACCACAGATGGCGCGCAGAAGTGCTCTGCTCTTTCTCTAGACCACCTGGCTTCAAAACAGCACTAACCTATCATTTGCTGTTTGAAGTCACCTCCATCATGGACTTCTCTCTGTTTGTCTCCTCCACTATCCTGGACTCTGTCCCGAGCATCTGGAACCCAGCCTACCGAGTTCAATCAGATCCCCATCTTTCATTTCAGTAGTCCTTCAGGTCACAGCTGTTTGTGGAGTGAATGACTGAAGGAAATGTGGAAGGGGGAGGCGGGTCAGGTAACATTGTTATCACTCCTCTCACCCTATAATCAAGAATCTGAGCCAGGTGCTGTGGCACACACCTGTAATCCCAGGGGCTCAGGAGGCTGAGGTGGAAGGATCTTGAGTTCAAAGCCACCCTCAGCAACTTAGGGAGGCCCTAAGCAACTCAGCAAGACCTTGTCTCTAAATAAAATAAAAAAAAAAAAAAGGGGGGGCTGGTGATGTGGCTCAGTGTTTAGTGCCCCTGGGTTCAATTTCTGGTACCTAAGTAAATAAATAAAAGAATCCGATACCCTCCTCACCTGATAACTTCCTTCCAGGAAATACAGGCCCTCCCCCCCCAAAAAAAAAAAATCCTGGGGAATTAAAGAAATTGCTTAATGCAAAATTATGAGTCCCTAGTGATGAGATGTCATGTTTAGAGTTCCTTAGTGGTGGGCACGGGGCATTTCACAGGCCTGCCCACACGTGAAGCTCAGGCCACTTGATCCCCCCCTGGGAGCAGGACTTGGAAGTGAAGGGGCTGCTGTTTTCACTGGAAGCCCAGTGCTCTATGTATGTGACAGGTTTTGATAAGGGAAAATAGTGACCTAATTTGTTTGTCCTGACATATTTCCTTGAAGAAGAAATGGTCAGAAAAATGACCAGAGGAAAGCAGTGAAGGTTAATGGCCAACGTCAGGCACCGAGAGGGAGCTTAGGCCCTTTCTCTATAGCCATCAGACACCTACAGGTGACATTGCCTTATGACAAAAGAACATTTAAAAAGGTTTCTTTTTTGCTCATTTTGAGGAGGGTTCTCTGGAAAAGCACCTTCATGCAGCAGTGGGTTCTGGGGATTTACCTGTGATGCTTTATATTACATATTTTTTATCTCCATGTGTTGAAAAGCTCCCTATAATTGCAATTCACATGTTCTGGACTTGCACAGTGGCACATGTCTGTCATCCCAGTGCTCAGGAGGCTGAGGCAGGAGGATCAGGAGTTCAAAGCCAGCCTCAGCAACTTAGCGAGGACCTGAACAACTTAGTGAAAACCTGTCTCAAAATAAAAAGGGCTGGGGACCTGGCTCAGGGGTTAAATGCCCCTGGGTTCAATACCTGGTACCCGTCCCCCCCCCCCCAAAAAAAATACACAAAACACAACAACAAAAAAACCTTGTTCTGCCACGAAGGAGATTTGTTTATTTCTTTAAACATTTTATACTTACTTATTATTTATTTATTTATAGGGAAAGCTTGCTCAATTTTAATCAGATTTTTCCAGATCCTAAGATGTCTCTTGTTGGAAGTTATTGATGTGGGGAAGCTGCATTTTGGGCCCTTTGACTTCACCTTTCCTGCACTGGAATCCTAGCTCGTAGACTTGACAGTTTAAAAAAACAAGTATTTTTATGGGTCAGAGCACATACACATTTTAAAACCTTAAAACAAAATTGTTCCCACCATCGGTAGAATAATAAGACCTGAAAGTGCTTTGAAATGGAGCCGGGGGTCATTAAATGATAGTTATCATTGCTCACCTGAGTACTTTTCTACTTTTTGTATATTTCTATCTTTTATTTGAATAACCAATTTCAAAATGACTCCAGAATATACCCCCAAGGCCCATGTGTTAATTTGGTCCCTAGCCTGTGGCGCTATAGGAGGGTGGTGGACCTTAAGAGGTGGGGCCTAGGGAGAGGTCTTTAGGTCACTGAGGGGGTGTCTTTGAAGGGACTTGTGGGACCCCAGTCTCTTCTTTTCCTCCTTCAGTTCCCAGCCATGAAGTGAGTGACTTCGCTCTGCCTCAGACTTCCTGCCATGATGCGCTGTCCCCTACAGACCCCCAACAACAGAGGCCAAGGGCTCCTGGACTGAAACTTTCATATCGTGAGTCCAAGTAGACCTTGACCTTGATAAGCTGATTGTCTCAGGTAGTTGGTCCAGGTGTGGAAAGCTGGCCAACTTCAGAAGAACTTGAAAACAAGTGCTCCCGGCCACGCCCTAGCCTGGCCTGGCCTGGCCTGCCAGGAGACACTGGCAGAGGGAGACACTGCCCACCTCATCCTAGAAATCAGGGAACTTCTGTCCCCACGTCACAGTCCTCATTCAGCTCAGCAGAGGCTCAGCTTTTCCAGAAAAAGCAACTGAAGGACAGCACAGCAGGAAATGGCAGGTGTGTGGGATGAACTGTGAGAACAGGAGAGCAGAAAGAGATAAGGTCCGCCACGTCAGTGGTCCACACACCCCACCCGGAGCCCAGGAGGAACCAGGGAGAGGGTGGAGGCACACCTGTCCCCCAAGGTCCCCGTGACCCCAGGGCTGCAGCACCAGCCTCTGTGGTAGCAGAGGACAAGAGTTAGTTTATGGTTTGAAGTTTTCTTACAAGAGGCTTAAGAAGGAAAGAAGTTGCTGAGGTCTTAAGAGTGTTGCGGTGGCGCACGCCTGTAATCCCAGCTGCTCTGGAAGCTGAGGCAGGAGGATCACAAGTTCAAAGCCAGCCTCAGCAACTTAGTGAGGCTAAATAAAATACAAAAAGGTCTGGGGATGTGGCTTAGTATTTAAACATCCCTGGGTTCAATCCCTGGTACCAAAAAAAGAAAGAAAGAAAAAAGTAGCCTAAGAGGAGATAAAGAGAATATTAGATCAGTCAGCAAAGACCTGCCCAGGTCCCTAAGGTTGGCTGGCTTCTGATCCTGCTTAACCTTTAAGGAGAATCAGTCCTGCCCTTCCACCTGGACAGGAGAACAGGCCTCCAGTGCTCTGAAGTTCACTGCTGCTGCTTGAGCTACTGCCCTTGCGCTGTTCTCACTCTGTCAACCTCTTCTTTGTATTTATGAATTCCCTCTAATGATTCTGCTCATTGAGTTTTTATTGTGATTCTTACGCTAATAGATTCTTTAATCTACTTTTATTTATTTTTCTTTAATCTACTTTAACCTATTTTTTTCAGTGATAGTTTCTTTGCTTGTTATTTTGAATTGTTGATCTAGAACTCAATCTAAATATTTGTCTAATTCATATATACCCAGCTACATAATCAATATGTCTATAGTCAGTAGGTCTATGATCTTATTCATGGATAAATAGAGAGATGATCTTTGCTTGAGAAAAGATAATCATAATCCTAAATGGAGTTACTAAATTAAATACAAGATGTTCAGTTAAATTTGAATATCAGACAAGCAATGAGTGATTTTTAGTGTAAGTATGTCTCATGCATTACCTGTGTGGGTCCCAGAGGTGTACTGACTTGCATGAGATATACTTATAATACAGAAAAGCATTGTTTATCTGTAACTCACGGACCATGTATCTAGTTACCCTGTATCTTACTTGCTACATCTGGCAATCTTACTCAGAAAACAACTCAATAAACAAGCTTGATCTTCAGAAAGGAATAAATTCATTTTTAAATTAATGAACTTAGTGTTGTTGGTGACAAAGACAACATCATGTCAGCCAAGCTTAGCAGTCACTGGATTCCTTTTTCTGGAAATGACAATGGAGTGGGGAAGTAGGAAGTTCAAATTTTATGAAATGTAGAAAAATTTCAAAATGACCAGATGAATTGATTTTACTTTAAGGAAAAGAAACAGAACAAAGATAACAGCCAGGCCCCCATTCTAGGAGCGAACTCTTGTTTATATTCACCTTCTTCCATTGGCTCAGGAAACGTTTCTATGCTGAACTCACCAACAAAGGAAGATTGTCTCATTTGTTTTCTGTTACATACATTTTATTTCTTTTTCAAGTTTTTAAATCAACTTTGACTGGCTTGAAAACTAGTGTCTATGGAACTTGGAGTCCCTTTGTTTCTCTTCAACAATTCTCCCCAAATGCACGTAAATTTCTGTCCCTTCTGCAAGTTATCCTGCCGTTGAACGCATATTTCTGGGTCTTCCATATTTTGAGAAGAAGGTGTGTAAGGACGCTTTCTCTGAAGCTACATAGTATTTTTCTACAGAAAAGTGGAGGGAAGGATAATTGTTTTCATTTGAAGAGACAGAAGTGAACCACCTTTCATTCAGACATTAAAATATTTGGGGGCTGGGATTGTGGCTCAGTCAGTGGTAGAGCACTTGCCTTGCTGGTGTGAGGTACCGGGTTTGATCCTCAGTACCACATAAAAATAAATAAATAAAGGTATGTGTCCATCTGCAACTAAAAAATATTTAAAAAATAAAAAAATATGGAATTAGTTCACATCTCAAAATGAAATTATAAAAGTGGATTAAGTAAATATCACATTGATTCAGGTATTACTATAATTTGATTTCATTATTTCAACAAATATAATCTTGTCTTGAAGATCAGATGAATTTCATGTCATTTGTTTATTGTGCCAGTCAGTCACCACACTTGTGTGGGGACCAATGGCATACCAGCATTATTCTAAATCCTGAGACAGAGGGGTGAATGGGACCAGGCCCCTAGCTCCCAGGGAAATGACTAAGTCAGGACGATGGCATGTAAATCAATAAATATAACACAGACTAATAAACGCCATAATATTTATGTGCACGGAGCATCATGAGGGTGTGGAAGAGAACCTGCTGCATCTGGGGCTGGGATTCAGGAAGTCATCACAGAGGTGTGGACCCCTGAACTGGATCTCAGGGGTGCATCAAGCAAAGATGACAGAGACGAGTGCTGCAGCTGGGGACCCAGCACATAAAAAGGCCCAGGGGCACGGCCTGGTATGTTCAAGATGTCACATCGTAGGGCACATAATGGGACGTGGCCATGGTTAAGAGAGACAGGAACTCAGCTCCAGCTGGTAAGAGGGTGGTCATGATGCCAAGGGGTTTGGAATCTGTCCTAAGAAAATAAAAAAACCCTAAAGGGATAAGTACAGGAGGAAAAGGATGTCATTGGTCCTACAGCAAGATCGCCCTGGAAGTTTGTGAAATGGAGGTGAGATTGGTGGCAAAGACGTGGGTTAAGAAGTCAGCCTAGGTGAAGGTAAGGAGGGTCTAAAGGAGAGGGAGCAGAGAATGAACTCTGTGTTGGACACGCTCAGCTTCAGAGTCCTGTGATAGAGCCAAGGAGAGCTGGGGACTGGAGGTGATGATTTGGGACCTGTCAGCCCAAGTGTGAGATTAAAGCCATGAAAGTGGATGGAAGGGC